CTCTAGTAATATATTTACTGAGAAAAATGGTGAAGTGTTCAATACTTATTTTGCCTGCTGTAAAACTAGAAGCACTCAGAGAGTGCAAACCTCCGCCAAGACCAATTCCCCCCATCCTGTAATAGAGTTACAAAGGGGCACACCAATACTACAGTGCCACCTGCTGGACTCTTTGAAACCCACGCCCTGTGAAAGCATCACAGCTTTGCCGATCTCAGAGTGTTGAAAGAAAAAAAAAATTCCTGTATCCGCATCGTGATCCGGAACATCACCAAGATTTAAAGGTGTGTTCCTTGGCCCCGTACACACATGTTAAAAATGTCATGACAATCCGTCCACAAGTTTTTGAGTAATGTTGTCCACAGACAGAACGACAGACGGATGCGACTGAAAACATTACCTGCCCCTTGGCGGAGGTAAATAGGATTCAGACCAAATATTAATGTATTATTGTAACCAACAAGACAAATTAAGTCATATATATGTATTTAAATATGATATCAGGATGATCCAGGTGTCAAAATGTAGCTTTTAAAGCCAAGAATCTGAAAATGTAATTAGGTCATTTTGACCAAATTTGACTTAACCCTCATTTTGACATTTGTTTAACATAAAAAGCCAGCATGAACTGTCTGATCCTTGTGTGTTTAATAAAACTCATTCATGTTTCTAAAATATGTAAAACAAACTGTTCTTGTTCATAAAGCATAAAGCCTGACTCTGTCCCTGATGTTACCTGTTTTAATGTCTGGTGAGCTGCGCCTTTAAATTAATTAAAACAGTTTGAGGTCCTGAGAAGCTCCGCCTCCTCCTCCTCCTGCTGCTCCCTCTCACCTGGAAGGCGTGGCCGGCACACCTGCGGCACAGGTTGTGCTGGCAGGGCAGGATCACCACCGGCTTGGAGAAGATCTGCAGGCAGACGGGGCAGATCAGCTGCTTCTCCAGGTTCTCCATGGTGCTGCTGGCACCGGGCCCAGGACCGGGCTCAGGACCGGCTCTGGACCTGGGAGCAGAACTCATCACCTCTGATGGTGAAAAGTTGTTTTTTAAAGAACAGAAGAGGAACAGGAGGGAAATATTCTGCTGGTTTTCGGTGGAGTTCCTGTTTGGTTCTGTCTCTGTGCCCCTCTGGGTTAAAGACCCTCCCCCCAGCTTCACAACAGGAGAGGAGTGGGTCTATTTAGGTCCTCTGTTTGTTTTGGGTTGGGTTACTGTCCACTAAAAACAACACAGAGCACGGCAGCAGGTCTCAAACATAAACCTGACCCCCCAGAAAGGATCCTGGTGACACTATTTAACCGTCAACACCTCGACATCCCTGCAGAACCACGCTCAGCCTCTCTGCTCCGTTAAAGCTTCATCTGTTGGCTTCAGCTTCATAAACAAACAGAATTCAGCTTCAGCTTTATGACAATTCAACAAACTTCCTGTTTGTTCTCAGATGTGGGGACCAGGGGTTCTTAAMCTTTTTGACCTCGGGGCCCAATTTATTGAACATAAAGTGGAACGAGGCCCAGTCAGACATTACCAATGTATGGATCAA